ACAAAAAAGTTGTCACTGCAAATAATTTGTGTAACTTGAAGTGATAAGAATTTCATTTTGCCAAACACATTTGCAAGCAGTGTATAAACAAATGTGAGGCAGCGTGGTGGAATCAAGCTCTCGTCAAAATAATCAAAGTGAAGAAACTTGCATTTTACTGCAGGTTTGTGAAATTTTATTAAATTTTTGTGTTTTGGCTCAACATCTTTCATGCCCATTAAATAACTCATTTCTGTGTGGATTTTTTAAAAGCGTTGATTAAAGGCACAAAAATGTAAATTTTCAGTTACCACAGACTCTTAAGCTTAGGAAATAACTAATCTTTGGCCGACATGTTCTCACTAATTTTACCTCTGAAAACAGATAAATGGATTTTATTTTCAAATAAATAAAGATAAGTGAACAAGCTTGAAGATGATACCAATAACTCTACATGCCCCAAAATTGACGAGAGCCTGATTCCACCACGCTGCCTCACAAATGTTAACGTGTCCGTCTTCCCACTCAAACTACTCATTCAATAAAATAACGACATTAATGTGGTGCTGAAGTCAGCTAAATAAACGAAGAAAGTGAGAATCAATTCAGGATCATGACCACCACTAATTTACACGCCCAGAGAGGACGTTTAGCTCTCAGATTCATCCCCGTTTTAGTTTTAGTAAGAGTTTTACGCACTTGCATCATCATCATCATCATCATCATCATCATCATCATCATCATCATCATCATCATCGTGATCATCATCATCATCATCATCCAGTGCCAGATCTGCGATAGACATCGGTGATCATTGTACTCTATTCATTCCTTTGCTCGGATGCTCTCAAAAATGCGAAACAATAAGGTCATATAAGTGCCAAAGATTAGATGTGATACAAGAGAGTAACAAACACAAAAAAGAAGGAGGAGAGATCAGGACGATAGATGTTTGATAGGGAAGAAGGAACAAACCACACCAGAGCACCGGCCACCCCCCCACCCATCCCAGTTTGACCTCTATCACCCTCACATCATCCTACCCAAACATCAACACAATTTGTGTAACGACACGGTGAAATCAGGCCCTCGTCAAATTTTGTGCATATTGGAGATATGGGTATATTTATTGTAAAGCCTGTTTATCTTTATTGCTTTTCAATGAAAAAGCACCCTTCTTTCTTGAAGAGTAGTCGAGACATTTGGGATAGAATGGGGTAGGAGCGCTCATATGACCGTACGCAGTTGCGAGCGCCGTAAAACCCTATACTACTACTACTAGAAGGAGGTAGGGGGTTGCCTGGTATCAGAGGTAAGAGTAGCGAGAAAGTGGCAGACAAAAATGTTTGCTGAATACCAAGGCCTAAAAATGTCCTTGGAAATTTAAATGCCAATTTTGTTTGTGGCATTACTTTACGTCTCTCAGTAAAAACCCACACAAGAAATGTATAATTAAATGTCTATAAAAGGCGCTGATCTTTAGTTGTTTGAGTTTTTTTTAGTCTTCGTAAGAGTTTTACAGCACTTGCAACACAAGAAGGTCACATAATATGTGCCGAAGATTAGAATTAGAAATGTTACAAGAGAGTAACAAACACAAAAAAGAAGGAGGGGAGATAGAGACGATATA